TTTTTTTCCGACTGGGCTGAGTCAGGCCTGCAAACTTTTTTCATTGTCACCATCAAAACAAAAAAAAAAAAAAAAAAACAAGGAATGAAACGAAGCAAAACTCAACTTTTCTACTTAATGGGAAACGACTACGAAATGGTAACGAATAAAATATTCTATTTCTCCAACATTCCGCTGAACGTGCAATCCAAGCCGGCCTTTAGGCCTGAAAGCAGGAGTCATCTGCAACGTGCTTTCTAGGGCACTGAGTTCTGTAACGCAGCAAGTAGTACGGGCTACGGTTTTGAAACGTAGATGTTAAACCGGTTCTTCTGAGGTCATTTATTTGGTTAGATTCCTTTTGAGTCTGCAACTATCATGTCTGAGAAAATATGGAAATGTTCTCGGATGAAAGGTTACACACATTCCAGAAAAATTGCCACTGAAATCAAAAGGAACTCTTCTTGGGAATACTGTAAAAGTGCAAACTCTTCATTTATGCAATTCTAATATGGTGGAAATAAACAAGTGTAGGATATTAAATTTGTTTTAAAGTTCAGGAAGCAATTTAAAATGAAATAACATACATATTATTAATGAATGACTACAGTGAAAAGTGTGTCATTACATGTTAATTAAGTTCTCTCCTTATTGTATCTGCAGTGCTTCAAAATGATGTTTTCTCTCTCTGTATTCCCCTTCTGGCAAAATTTCCTGAAAAAAGCCATAGGTGTAAAGCAGAAACTCTTACGTATTGCCCAACTGGAAAAAGGAAAGAGAACGAAACTACAGCGATTTTTGTTTTAAATGAGGATTTCTATTCAGAAATAAACTGAACTTCAACATGTTTTAGTTACATATCCTTCTGTTTATAATCTTCTACTTAAGTCTAAATAACAACATTGGCGGAACACAGTAAATTTGAGGAACTGGGATGAACTATTTCTAGGTAAATGTTAACAGAACCATTTTCCTTTCTACAAAAATAATTACGTTCAGGCAGGGAGCCAGCCTTCTGTGCATGCCATCCCCTACTGTCCAATTCCTGTAAAATTCAACGTCACCTTTCTTATCTGGCTATTTAGGACTTTCTAATTTTTCTGTTCTCAAAGTATAAGCTTCTTCTTGCATTTGCAGCTTTTCGTTTATCTCCGCCTGTAAAGAAAATCAGAAGAAAAAAGCGGTTACGATGGAGCTATCTTAGGCTGCACATTGTCTCTGTGGTTTTGACGCACTGTAGTGCAGTACAGACAGACATTATCCTACACACCTTCCTGTTCTGCAGATGTAACGGTGTTTCAGCCTGTACTTACGTGATAACACTTTATCATATTACTGGGCGCAATCCCGACGTACGGCGCGACTGCCGCGAGCAGGAAGCGAGCTGGGACAGCCGTTTCTCACGTAACCTTGTCTTGGGAGATAGGCTAATTTGCCTGTATTCTCAGACAGCCTTTACCAATAAACACCAAATCAGAAAAATTGCTTTGGGATTTGGTTGTTGCCACTGTTTTCCTTTGCTGCAGATGTTTGTTCTCTAGCGTAACACATTTTATTGAAACACTGCTGGAATTAGAAAGCATTACTGAAAATGAACAATAAAAAAAACCCCATATTTCTGTGATGTTGCTTGTCTTTCTTAATTACAAACACAATTATGAATGTGTATCTCATTCTGGAAATCCAGACTGCTGCAGACACCGAGTGTTTAATTTGCAAAGTAACGTTTGTGGGGAAGGTACAAGGTGACACATTTTAGTGAAATCTTTGGCAGTGATAATGCATAGCAGTCTTTAATGCTATCACATTTGGAAATGTGGGATCACTGGAAAAAAGGCCACAAATATTGGGGGGTTGTGGGGAATTTAGGTATATTTTTCAATATCAGCATTCATTACTGCAAAAGTACATGAGAAATGGATGGAGTACAATGACAGTCTTCTGCAAAGTTTTGTTCAAACAACTGGAACAGGCTTCAAGGTCCTTTACAGCCTCCACATAAACTGATCCAAAACTTAGAGTTACGTTCTAATGTACTTAATGTAATTTTGATAAAGTGAATGGATTTGGCCCAGAAAAGCATGCAGTAACTTGCCATTTTAGGAACCTCTTGGCTTGCCAGACCTAGAAAATCCCTACTAGTGCTATACTGAAGCCTATCAATGGATAACCACAGCTAAACTATTTCCCAAGTTCTCAGTAGCTCAGATTAGCATCAAAAAGCTGGAATTTCTAATCTCAATTTTAGAGATGGCCTTCACCCATGTTCAGCCCATCCTCAAGTATCGACAGATATGTCCCTATCCCCTTTACATTATATGTATACTTAGCTGCTTTCCTGTGGAATGCTGATTCTCCAGGCTAATCGTCTCCCAGCCTTTTCTTCTCTTCTTTTTATATCCCTCTTTCTCCGATTCTAGCTTCAGTGAAAATCTGCCGCCATACTCACTATGGCTGCTGTTGTGATCACTGAGTGTCAGCACTGAGATTTCAGACTCAAGTTATTTTCTAGACTCAACTAGAGCGAGAGATGCCTCATGTCCCCTGGAGGCGCAACGCAGATTGTGAAATCACAGTTCACTCGTAACAACAAAATAGTATGAGTTTGACCGCGCATCAGGGAAAAATCTAATGATAAGATTACCACAGTGGTCAACAAACTGAGAGATCAGGTGATACATTGGTGGAGGAATTTTTTTTCTGTGTATATAATCAGAGTTGCAAAAGAAGAAGAAGAAAAAAAGGCATTTTTTTTCCTAATCTCTGCAGTTTTTGTAAAGAAAAAAGCTCTTAGACTGATGCTAATGAAATCAAGGTCAAGTGAAAACCAGGCATTTCATTTTTTCTGTGGACAGGAATAAGACAACATAGGCCAGGGCCCCTCCTGTTTCTAAAGGCATGTAGAAATGGAACGTGAAATCAAATAGCTAGATCTAACGATGGCATCATTATTCCACTTTATATTCCCCATTCGTACGTAATCCATATAAAGCAATTTATCAATTCACACTATTTTCAGACATATCAGATATTTAATAAACTGCTGCTTGGTTAACAATGTCCAACATGCTGCATCAAAAGTTTAAACTGCCGAATGCCACCTGGTTGTTGCAAAAAAGACCAAATTCCACCAGTTCCTGGCTGGAACTGAGTTCTAGCTGGTTGGCTTTCAATAATTTCATATGCTTGAGGGAGCAGTTTACAAAACAATGATCTACTCTGCTGGCTTTCCACGTGTTTCAATTTATAGAGCTCCCTGTAGAGAAGTAGATCACCCTACAACCAATTTAAGTCCACTGACAATACCTTCCTTCCCTTTCATCAACCCCATAGAAAGAACTCATGGACTCTGAGCTCAGAGTCTGCAGACCCCGTACTGACACCTGATCCATTCCGCTAAGGCAACTCTTGTACAGCTATGCACCTACAGCTGAAGGCTAGAATTGCAGAAATGTGTTATTTCTTACACAGATTGAAGGATGTGCCACAGATGCATCTAACAATTTATATTAAGCACACATCGCATATGCTCCATCACAGCAGCTGATTCTGAACCCCCGAAAAGGAATTTTATCACTGAAATCACCGAGAGCAGGATTTGGCCCGTGTTTCTTAACACATAGTAATGCTGAAGATATATGTTGTTATATTACTGAATATTTTTTATCTTATCACATGTCAGCTGACTAAACTAGGAGTTATTTATAGAGGCTAATTCACATTTTTACAGCATATGGATGTGCTTTTTGCCAGCTTTAGCATGAATACAGTTTATATTCATTAAGGCTGAGCTAGCTAATTAACCATAGACAGAATTAGTGAATAGCTTTCTAGTAATAGTACCTCAAGGTTGCCAATAATTTCATTTGGGATTTCATCCACTGCGGAATTCTCATCTTCAGCAGTGACACCAGCCACAGCATCTGCCTCGAAGGACTCTACCTCTGGACCAGGCTCTTCAGGGTAACCCTCTTGATCAGACCCCTAGCAGCAACCAACCACAAGAAATAGAGGAGTTAACATCCTCCCGCTCCCTACGAGACCAAACCGCCTCAGCCCAACGACATGTGACAATGCACCAAGCCTGCTTTTGGGAACTCCTGCTCTGACAGAGACCGTCAGTGTCTCTTCTTTCACTGCTCAGACCAGGCAGATCCACAGGTTATGAAGTCGCATGGGGGGAGAGCCCAGAGGTGCTGACTTAAACGTCCTCTGTTGACTGCTTAATGCATTAAAAGCAACTTCATTCGATCTTACAAGAGAACGCATGCTATATTCTGGGGAATAAATATCATGAGCGACTGGGCTCCAATGGGAATAAATGAGGTAGGAGACTCACAGAAAAATAGCTTCAAAAAAACCCCAAACCAAACAAGAAAACCTCCATACCTTAGATTCTGTCTCTGAAGCTGTTGGTGATATTATGAATGATGAATAGATATCCAAAGGCATGCCTTCTTCCAGCGGAGCAGGGAAGGGGGGAACTGCAGGTTGGGCAAGTTCAATCACATACTGGCAGTATTAAAAAAAAAAAAAAAAGGAAAAAAAAGTAATTCAGGTTTAATTATTGCTCAGAGGTTTATTGCAGATTTTTTAAAATGGAAATTAAATGGCTGGCAAACAACAAAAAACAGTACCTTTTTTGTTACTATCCAGGTGCTCAGAACTGGAAAGCATACTGAAAATGATTATAGATCAGCTTTAATTTCTAGCTGCATCTCAAGGGGCACTCTTTATAACACTTGGAAAGAACAGATGATTTTCATAATTTCATAACACTACAGCTTCTTACTCATGTGGATAATTAAGTTTAGAAAACACAGAGCTTGGGTAACATGCAGACTTCCCAATGCAAATTTGTCACTTCTGAACAGGGATCTTGTTGCATTTTGGAATTAAAGGGCCCAGCTGACCACCAGGGTATTCTTCCAAAAGAGTCAGCTGGAGTAAAGTTGTAGTGACACTGCATCAAATAAGGCTCTAAGAAAAATATTTTAATATGTGACCATAATTTAAGAATTGCTAATGGTCCAAGTTTTGCTGCTTCATCAGCTTGCTCCCATTTCTCTTTCCTGTGAACATGGGAACTGCACTGGTATTCTGCTGGTATGTGAACTGCAGCTCCAGGAATCCTTGGAGAAGGAAATGGCTTTTCCCCCTGCAGAGTAGCTGGATGCAGCGCTTAGACCTTGCTTGGGTTCTTGTGAGTGATGCAGAAGGTGGCCCCAGGCCCTCTAAAGGGACAAGGTTTTGTGTCGTTTTTTTTTTAAAAATGGATGACAGAACATACATGCCAAATAGGGTGAAAAAAGGCATTTTGGAAGGAGCAAGGAACAGCATATAATACTAAAATGGTATGTCTGGGGCTCCACAACGGGACGCGCCCACCGAGAACACCAGGCAGATGTTCCAGTTCTGACTCAGCTATTATAAACCTGATTTTGCTTGGATGGCGTAAGTCAACTACATTAATACACATCAGGGTAGCTGTAGCTCCCATAAATTAATTTCCTCATACCTCTGAATTCGTAGCTAGGCTGATATTTTTGGTTTATTTAGTTACCTGCTACAGTTAAACACACTGAAAATATTAAACATTCTATACACATGCAAAAGCGATAGAAAAAATTGAAAATAAATAGCGAGGCCTAGCCATTGTACTTTATTGCATTAAAAATCTCTTTTGTAGTCCTAAAAGCTTTTCAGGAGTCACGTTTGGACTCTGTCATTATCTTCAAGATTCCCTGTCACGTGTGAGCTCACTAGAAAAAGGTAGACAGTATTAGTCCATGTTTATAAGAACCCAAAAGGCTGACAGAGAGATTTCCAGAATTTAAGTGAGGGGAAAACAGATTTTATAGAAGCATTTTCTTATATCGCTTGTGACTCAAATTTTACAGCGCTGTGCTAGTGCCTACAGACTCACAAAAGGAATAGTCAGAAAGTTTTGCATCAAAATGAAAAAGCCTTAAGTTGAGCTAAATGTTATTCTTTCTAAAATAAAAAGCAGCTTTGTTTTCAAATCCTGTTTTTTTTTTAATCTAGAGCTCTTTTGATTTAGCAAATATTTCCATTTTCTCTGATTTCTTACCTTCTATTTTCTTATTAAAAATATTAGCTGAATTGGATGAGAATTCACAATTACTTTCTGCTTCTTTAAAGCAACATTTTTTGGTTAGTTAGTTAACTATTCACTCAAAATATTTTCTTTATTTAGATTAAATCATTATTCCATTTATTCCCTCCAGTCTAAATTTAAAAAAAAATGAAATAATGTAAAAAACTAGACCGGGTTTTTAAAATCAATTCATGGCTGCTCAAATACATTTTTGTAGCATGGATAAGATCTTCAGAGGTTCTGTTTTAGAATAATATTTTTACTTCACTGCGTCCTTTTAAAGAGAGCCATTCTTTACTCATCTGTTCCGTGTCTAATAATAACCCTTGGATCATTAAGAAATAACTAAATTACAGCAGAACCAGTCTCTTTAATGAGCCATAATAGTCTCAACATTCAGCCAAAAGTTTTTTTTAAAAGACTGTGAAACTTCAATGTAGAATATGAAGTATTTTGTTGAGTAATAATAAGTTTATGAGCAGTACTACAGTTTACAGCCAAAATATAGCGACCTAAAAATGCCATTCTGCATTGCTCCTTCCTATACATTGTGTCCTTAACAAGTCCAGGGGAAAATTAGAACGAATGAATTGTGGTGAGAGCCCGAAGCCAACAAACGTATTTAAATGAATCCTTCTGATGCAATACTTTCCTTTAAAAAAATACAATTAAGTCTTTGTATTTCCTTTGAACAAAACCTCATGTTTAATAGCACCAATGGCTCTGTAGTAAAATCTATTTAAAAACAGAGAAGGAGACACAGTAAGTTTTATACAGTTACAGTGGCTTTAAAAAATGTTGCTAGTTTCTGAAGTCTGAGTAAATTTATGGTGAATTACTTCCACTGACCTACATTAAAAAATTCATCCTCCTTTTTTTAATTCCCGAAGATTTGTCATTATGTGAGCGTTATTCACTATGACAAAGACGTATTACGCAAAGTGTCCTCCTGAATCAATGTAACTATCGCAACGTGAAAAACGGTTTGGCAAGATGATAATGCCTTAAAATTAATCGGCAATATTTCCCTGCACATTGTGGTCTAACGGGTCCATAAGAATTCAAACATAAAGAAATCATAAGGCAGCTGCACAAATGTAGAGGGCATATCAGTGTCCGCTGCAGATAAAAGGGTCCTCCGAAAGAGAGCGGAGGGAGCAGAAGTTAAATGCAATGTTCTTACTTATTCCTAGGTGTGCTGGGGTGCCAAAGGCCACTTGAATCTGGACAAAATGGAGCAGGCTAGAGGCTGCTCTAACATTCAGCAGAGTTCAACGCAGGAAACCTCATTCAGCGTCACCTTCACTTTCCCACCCCAGTTGCATCAAGCCTGGGCGTAGTCACAGCTGAGGGCTGTAGCTGACGTTCAAACATTGCTCTCAACGCACAGCCCCACGCCACAGTTTTTCCCTGGAACTCATTCTAGTAAAAGTGCATAAAGACAGGTAAGTATAAAACGTGTCATGTCGTTCTGTACACAAACCCACATACTTTTCTTGTTGTTGAGAGCTAGCAAATTACCTTTTTACAAAAGCAGGCAGAGCAAAGACAATATAATAGTATACAGGAAAATTTCTAAAACAGAATAATGGCAGGAAAGAAGATTGGTAAAGCGTTCTAATAAACGAGTTCCACAGATGTGGTAGTTATTATAAAATTAGCTTTGCATAACTTACCAATATACCATTACATTTTCCCCCAGATGTTATCTGTTACTTAAATTAATTTTGCTTAAGTTATTATTATTGCAGATTTTATCCACGCTGTATTTTATTATTTAAGTTTCTGTGGCATAAAACAAGCCCTGGCTGATAGTATTACTTTTAATAATATATGTAAGAGGTTTTAGTATTATACAAATGGCTGCTGGGTATATCTTAATAGTCATAGCACAGAACGTCTGCTCTCAAAATATTATGTAGATTAAAACCAGCTATTTACTTACACTCTAATTCAAGTCATTGGAAAGGTTTGCAGGATATAAATGTGGTATGAAGGGAAACAATCTACTCGGGGAATAAATATCAGAGTTTGGAAATTAGCAAAGCTAAGGTCAAGGTCAGTTTGGATTTACTAACATACTTGCTGAAAATTAGAATTTATAGTCTCTGCTTACTTATTTCATAAATGAGAAAAGAGACTGAGGGGGTGGTGTATTTGCCTCTTTGATACACGGCTTTTGTATCACAGAAACATTTTAAAACCACCTTTTCAGCTTAATATTATCTGAAATTCTGTACTCCTCTCCGCAGAGCCTTAACATAAATTTATGTAGCTGATCTTACCAAACATAGGAAAACAATTATTTATAAGGATTGGAAAAAATACCCCACGTTCAGCATGGGCCATTTCTAAAGCCTTGTAACATCTTTCAAAGCCTTTCAATGGCCTTTCAGTGGGTATGGATTTGATTTTATATGAATGACAGAAGCATTTAAAAAAGGGTGTTCTTTGTGTGTTATTCTCTATATTCATATCATCTGTGTAGTTTGTAATTGTATGCCAAAGGACCTTATGCTACCAGAGACCCGCACAGACTTCTCTCTTACATATGATCATATGTGCGATTTGCTATGAACCACAATATTTAATACAGGATTTACATTAGTTTGCTATTCATGCTAAGCATGCCCAGCTGCACACCTACAAATGCGCTGAATTTCAGTTGCTGGAATAAATGGCATTTACAAGAGATGGTTTGTTAGCTGCCTGTATTTCATGTGGTTGAATTTGAATGCATAACTAATGGACAGAGATGCACTGTCTCACACTGCCTCTTTATCCCCCCTGCTTTAACCTGCCAGCGTACGCAACCACAGCAAACCCACCCTACTTGCCCTCTGAGGCATCGCCCACCAGCATTCCCACAGGTGAGGAGGTTTCTAGGAGCTGTACAAATACATTTACCATCCTATTTTACAGCAATGCTATATATAAAAGGACTGAATGATATTATGAAGCACTCAAAAACTTAATCCAGATATATGATCTGTGCAGTGCGACTAAGATGGCAGAGCTTCCTTCTGAACGCCTTCACGGTACACGTTTGTGTTGTGTTGTGTTATGTTAAACATATTTAAAGTAGGATTAAGATCAATGAGGGACTAAACTTGGCCTCTGAAGTATGTTCCGCCGTTGCTGATGATGCACATGGAAATTCTGTGCGCATGTTCCTGGGCAGGAGTTTTCAAACCACTATTCCATAAATGAGACAAAAGTTCAGTGAGTCAAAGGTATACTTTATGCTTTTTCCTGCATTTCAGAATTCAAGTTAATACCTTTTAAAGAGAGTTTTCCGTGTTTCTGAGCTGAGATGTGAATCAACTTTGTTGATGATACGTCAGTAATTAATCTAGTCCAAAATAGCTATCTGAAGCAATTTGGTGCCTACATT